GTGCAGATTCTTATCAAGACAAACACTTCACACAATTGGCCTAAGTTGGTCTTTGTTTTATCCAAAACATCACAGCTTACCAATTTCAAATGTACAAGAGTAGAACACATTTTACTCTTACATTTGACAAGTGTTATAAACCTTCTTTAAGACGTGTCACTCAAGTTACAATCTTGGAGTATGACTCTAAGAATTGTTTTGGAACAAAGTATGACCCATCTTCTTGATTTAACCATTTCAAGAATTCAAGATTCCTCTTATTAGCCATAGGAATGCACTAAGATGTACTTAGAGGACTAATTGTGATATGATTTATTAATCATTAAGATGATCACAAAACCTGATACTAAAGTACTCTCCCATCTTTTCAGATTTGAGAAACTTTTATCTTTCTGCCTAATTTGATTCTTCTTATTCGTTCTGATGAATAGTCTTATCGATCTTTTGTGGTGGACTTGACCAGTGCACAAGAATGTGTACTCGATACCTTAGTCCTTCACTTGACTCAAATATACATGTGAACAAGGAATTAGTCTTAATTTTTCTAAAGATGAAAATTCTCATTCATCATACGACTTGCACGATTCCAAGTTTCTATCCAACTGAAACTTGGGTGATGAGAATCCTTCCTTATTTGGTAAATTATGATACTACCACAAACGAAAGAATCAAATTCATATATCAATCATTGCTAAAAACATACAAACATCAATTTTCCATTAATGCCATTGCAAGGAGATATAAATAAAATAAAACAAAATTTTATTTATTTATAAATGCGGAAATTTTTTTTCCTTACAATGCAACTTTAAATGAAAACTATGCTATTACATATTTTCTAGCAATCTATCATAACTCTCTAAGTAGTAGATCAAGAATCCGATCTTCGAACCATGCGATTGAAATCCATCTTCGTGATCAGATTCAACATACTCTTTCTTTAAGTTTCCTTCCCTTTGCTTGATCCTGCCAAACATCAAAATGTAACCGAGTCACATTTTGTATTAAGAATCATCAATAAGGAAATTAACAGAGTTAGATAGTGGACTTACCTGAAGCAGAGTCAAACTTTTGACCTCCTCTCAGATCTTTCAGGTAGTTAGGGCAGCTTCGCAACCAATGCCCCTTCCTTTGGCAATAGATCCATATGGACTCTTTGGTAATGGTACATGGGATTATCTCAAACTTAGCCTTTCTCTTTACCATTTGGTCAACCGAGTTGACTATGGCTAATCCCTTTCCATTGGGAAGAGAAGGTTTTTCTGGATATCCAATGTTACCATTGTCAATGTCCATGGAGGTTTGGGAATTGATCTTCTAATCAAATTTGCTTTACCAGTGCTCTAAATCATTGTTGATTCAGCAGCACCAAGCAAATAGATAAGATCATTAAGGGTCATGTCATAGTCTGTTTCATAGTAGTCCCAAAGAAACTCACTATGTGACTTAGAAAGTGATTGAACAACCAATTTTCTCAAGACTTTGACACCCAACTCTCCCAGCTTGTCAATATGTGACTTCATCTCCAAGATGTGAGCACACATAGACCTTGCTTGCCAATAGGACTTGAGTGACCTTGAACTATTCAAGAACTGGTGGGTTAGGGAGAATAATTGGAGGAGGTGGAGGTAGAGAAGTATGATTTCCATGAGATTTTGGAAGATCATAGTTGTCTGAACCAGACATCTAAAATGGGAGATATTCAAGTTAGTTGATTTAAGTCCTTAATATAACACCCAATATGAAATATTAAGGCTAGGACCCAACACAATATTTTATAACTTGGAAGAGGGATGCCGTAATCCAAGCTATAAAATATTTGAAGGTAGGCGAATGACGATTCACCAATTTCCACCATGAAAAACGAAATAAATTATTAGGTTTTAATTGGATTTGAAACTCCTAGATCTTTTGATATTCATTGAACTTTTCAATGGCATGTTTCAATCTCGATTGTGCCCTCTCAAGTTTTATGACTGGGATGCCGAGGATCACAAAACAAGGTGTGAATAACCATGCAAATATACTTGGTACCCTTAATATTTATCACTTAATCGATGTGCCGGTTAACCACACGCGCTCCACCGATCCTATGATAAACATTAAGTTACCCTTTGCCTACCTTGTTAAATCCAAGTTAGCGTGCCGGTTAACCACACGCGCTCCACTAACGACTTAAGCAAGGTGCAAAGTGTAATTTCATGGGTTAGAACCAAATTCACATTTTCCTAAAGTAACTAAGATTGGGAATTTATAAAAGGTTTAGTTACTTTATATTTATCATTATACTTATAATGAAGGGAGAATTATAGTCCTTGTCCTACCCGTTCGGCTAACGACCCTTCACCAGTCAAGGAAGCGGTGGGTGAGAGTGGACACCCATTAAACTGCCATTTTATAGGCAGTAGGCGAGAAGCCCTACGCTCCTAACAACACACCCATGCCTTAAAACCTTTTGAATAAAACCCAAAACCCATAAAAGACCGAGATATCAATTTACAGTCATACCCTTGGCTTTCAAAGACACAATCGAATACATGAATCACTTAAACCATGGCAACTAGATCCGAAATGGGCTAAATCCTTCCTTTCCTGAAGCCCTAAACTCCATGACAATTGATGATTGGGCCGCAGCCCCAAGCAACAAGGCAAATCTGAAACCGAGTGTTATAGAGATGCCGCCCCTTGGACCCCGCTCCCAGGGGCGCTTCCCCCGGACCCCCGTTCGTTTAGGGGCTTCGCCCCTAAATGACAGTCTACTGTGAATCTTGAATGAACTTAAACAAGTGTGCACTCTGCACCTTCCTTACTTGTTTAATATTCATCAAGATTGATTTTTGGTCAACAAGTCAATCAATTACACTAAAATACACATTGATGATACAAAATCATTAACAATCCTCTCAAATTTAAGTGTAATCTTGATTAACTTAAAACAAAGCATAACAACAACAAACTGATGCATAAATGAAATGTCGTGATGATTGAATTTCAAATTAGTATATTATTTAATCCAAATATTCGAATATCAGGATGTCACTAAGGACTGAACCCTTTCTATTTATAGTGAATACATGAAAATAATTTACTAAGGTCTCACTTTCTTACCCCCTATATCCTCTTATTCCGTTGAATCAACGCCAACCTCTCTCCTTATTTTCTTGTGGTAGGTGGATTCAACGAGACAAATAAGGAAGAACAAATGTTGATCAGGTTGGTGTTTAGCAGTTTAGCAGTATTCAAGGTTTCCTCATGTTAATGTCAATAGTGATAATCAACTATTATTAACATCTCCTACGTTAAAAGGATCCCCATATTTATAATCCAAAACATTCTATGTTTATTCATTGATTATTTTTTGTCTAAGAGGACGTGCTTTGGTGTTATAAAATTTCCAATTCAAATTTTGTGTTGTGTTATTAATTCTTTAACTGTTTTAAAAATGATCGAACCCAATCCTAATATGAATTGACATTGTTGAGATTGAAGATGAGCATAACACCATCCTCTTCTTTGTATCAATCTAACAAAACAAATGTCAACACCACCACCACTTCTCCTTCGGACTCTATTTTTTTTTTTCCAAAAACCCACGTACGGATTTTGTCAAATTCCTTCAAAATAACATTTAACAAAAAAAGTAAAAATAAAAAATAAAAAAAATTAAAGGATAGCCGGACACTATAACAGCCCCGGGGCGGGTCGGGCAATCCCACTACCCGTGGGGACCCGACCCTAACGGGGCGGGGATTACCCGTTTTAACGGGTAACGGGGCGGGGATGGATCTTAAAATTATACCCGAAGCGGGGACGGGGCGGGTACGGATATATTACTATCCGCTCCGTTTAAAACCCGATATATATATATATATATATATATATATATATATATATATATATATATATATATGGAAAATAAAGTTTGTAGCTATTCGAAGTATTGAAACCTGGAACAAGCTTAAAGCATTAAAATCGTTTGATGAAATTAAATATTGCGCATTAATCATTTTCTATTATAAATTCGAAACAAATTATTAATTGATAGATCTTTTCAATTTCCCCATGTAATAAGAACCTAAAAAAAAAGAAATTCAAACTCATCGATTTCCAATATATGCGATCAAAAGATCAAACCATTTGCAACTACTTTCATATTATATATGAAAAAAGCTGTTTTTAAAATAATGGTAATAATTAACATATCTTTAGGAACGTAAACATTGTACTTGTGGAAATAAACATAATATATTTCATGGGTACCCAACGGGTTACCCGTACCCGACGTATATTTTTTTACCCGAACCCGTTGGGGATTAGTCGGGGCGGAGGCGGGGACGGGTGTGGGGTTTGGAGTTCGGGGATGGGGATGGGTATTGCAGTATCCGCAAATATCCGTCCCCGTTTGCATCTCTTGGTCCGCCTCGATTGGTCCGCCTCGATTAGGGGTGGAGTTTGTTGGAATTTTATTATAAAATATTGATATAACTTGAAAACAAAAAAAATAAAAAAATAATGACAAATCAAAATTGGCTAAAATAGTAGTTTTAGATCCAACATAATTTAAATTAATTGAAACAATAAGGACTTTCAGTTTAGCGAAATACAAACTTGGACTAAAGCCCCGTTTGATAGTTGCTGACTGAGAAAGGTCTGCCTGAGTAAGAAATCATGTTGTTTGATTGAAAATCTGACTGGTGCAAAATGACCATTTTACCCCGATGCTCTACAAGTTTCTATGCAATATGATGATAATAATAATAATAATAATAACAACAACAACAATAATAATAACAACAATTACAATAATAATAATAATAATAACTAGATTCCTAACCCCCGCTCCGCGGGGGGCAGAGGGTATCAGAACGTCATTACAAACATTGATAAGTGTAGAAGGCGATTAATATGCTTATAGGGTGAATATTAAGTGATAAAGGTTGTCGATTACAAAAGAGTCTGAATGACATTCGATTACAAAAAGTGTAAGAAGAGTTTCTTGTTCATGGTGTGCGGTGGTCTTCAATGATTTTGTTGCAGATGTCTGTTGCCGCACTCATGTTGTCCTGCATGCTTTGGAAAATGTCCAGCATCAGCACAGTGTCCTTGTCGAGGTCGTTCATGAGCGATTCCGTGATCACAACATGTCTGTACGGCATTTCGTCGGGAGCTTCTTGTATCATTTTCTGTCTTGACTGGTTGATGCTGGTGAATGTGTTATGGACCAAGGCTAACGACTCTTTCATTGTTTCCAGCTGGTTCTGCAGTTTCTGCATAATGGCTTCCATATTTTCTGTGTTGTGTTTGTTGGTGAAGCCGATGAGTTTGCTGTGGGATTTTATAATGGAGTATTGTGGTTGTTGGATGGTATTAATTAGGGACAATTGATTACTATTCTGGGAAGTAATGGATATAGGGTGGCTGCTGTGACCTTTTTTTAATTGATAGATGTGATTGTTGGGTTTGTGTGTGGTATTCAATTAGCAATATCTGCCCAGATCTTTGACTGCATGGGGTCAATTTTAATAACTTACCATTAATTGAGTACATTTATTTTGGTACTTACATTTGCGTTGATTGGTATGTCAGAGAGCATATATCTGTGTATGATTATCTGTTTCAATTGTTTATTCACTTCTCTCATTTCTTTGTTCAGGTTTAAATAGAATAATATTTTGTAACAATTTGTTTTTCTTACAGGGTATATTTGTCTTTTTGTCCAAAGTTGTTTTTAGGTCGGGAATAATTGTGTTGTTGTATATACGTGAGTTATTAATTAATAGAGGAAGGAAATAAATTTTTTCTTCTAGGACAAGCATGCAAACAGTGTGACTAATTATAGTTTCGGATAGCAGGATGTTGCGATGGAGTGTTTATACATAGGATACTTGTTTATCACATTTGTTACAAAACGATAAAGATATCATTCGAAACAAAACATGGGGTTGAAAGTGCAGCTTTGTGGTATTTACTATTTGCTGCTCTGTTTTTGATTTTTTGCTGGTGGTGGGTCTGTCATAGGTGAATTGGAAAAGTGTTAGCATTCGTTGTGGATAATATTTTTTTTTATCTCAGATATTGGTAGATTGGGTTATTACCTGGTGGACTGAAGGTGAGAGCACGTGCGATGGATTGAGGAGTTCTGTCTTCTTCGGTTGATGTGTTATCTTTTCGCATTCTTGTCATCCGTGATAGGGCTGGTGTTGTCGGAACAGGTGGCTCTGGTGTTGTTGTTGGGTCATGGATGTCAATTATTATGAAGCGGATGTTGTCAGGTGCTGATGCCCTCAACATTTGGATAAACATTGTTTTTGTTTGTTCTTTTTGATCAGTGATGATTGCAGGCAGTCTGTTTCTGTTTGTGTGGGGGTTGTCGGATATGTATTTGTCAAGTGATGACTTTAACAGCTTTCGACATGATGTTTCGGATACAACTGCAGGTATGGTGTCTGTAGTGTCGGTAATGGTTACTGTCAATTTGTACCTATGGATATAGAACGGTTGTAAATTGTGTAGTTGGTGAAGAATTGTTTTTTGTTTGATTGAGTATATACTTACGTGTAGTTTGGTTTTTCAGTCAGCCCATGTGCACTGCAGTACCAGTCATAACCTCTTCTGAAAATCGGATCTTTGCAGATCGGACATGTTGCTTGGTACCAGGTGTTTTGGAAGTGAAAGTCCTTGATTGAAGCTTGTACCATGAATGTTTTATCCTATAGGCAAAGGTGACCTGGTTGTGGGAGTACAAAATGGTGTGTATTTGTAAAAAGTTGTATTAGTGCTATCATCTTACCAGCAGATCAGATCGGGTTTTCAGTTTCATGTCATGTAAGGTTGAGGGGGTTCCAGATGGTGCCGGCACTGGCCTTGAGGGTCCTGTGAATCTGAGGTCGTATACGTGTTGGTATATGATATCGATGATATGAAGGATAATATTGTTCTGTAATGTATGTCACTTACAAATTAATCAGTGTTGTTGTCTCCGGTATATCTGGATTCACATAGATATGTGTAGCATGTGATGACCCATGTCGTAATGCTCCTGTATGGAAGTTAGTTGGTGATTAAGGGCATCAGAGGATACAGTGTCATAGTCATATTACATATATATATATATATATATATATATATATATATATATATATATATATATGCTAGTATGTAGAAGAGGATACCATTAGATTTCGATGGTTTTAGGTTTGTTACTGCAACAATGGTTAGCGTAGCCGCATGATCCAGGGCGGCACGGTTGAATTTCTGTGGATTTGTTATGCATTCTCTCCATAGATTGATTGCGAGGTCACTACCACTATTGAAATTTTGGTTGTTTTTGGTGTTAAACAGTGATGTTAGAACTTATAACTGTAGTTTGATGGTTATTATATATACCTTTCATCTGTGAGAATAAGTAAGACAAACGGTTCCTTATTTGTTTTCGTGCAATCTCTTATCTTTGATAGAACACCAATGAAGTCTGTTTAGAAGGAAATATAAGTATGTAAGAAGTACTGGTACTATGAAGTTGTTTATTGTGAAGAATACCTGGATAATATGGTGGTGTTTCTCCGAGTTCTATCAGATGCGACTTTGAAACAAAGCGAAACCAGTTTTTTGGAATTGTTGTTGTGTCTGGAATTGGTTGTATGATAGACTTCAGACCGACATCTATGTAGATGTCATTTTCAAGAACCTTTTGATACTTGTCTAACGCTGGGCAGCTGTAATCAGATATGACATAACACTCTGAAACATTAAAAATGGATTCAATGTAGCTCTGATTTGTTCGCTGTCCAAGAATTTGAATTGCATCACCCTGTACGAACGGATTATTATAGTGTTATAATCAGTGTTATTAGGTGTGTTTTTGGGATTAGGTAGTCATATTATCTGGTAATCGTATATGTTTTTTTAACAAAGAAAGCAGTTCTTTTCATCAATATTAAAAGGCAATTGGTAATGATTTGGTTGATATGAAGTTTAATTGCATGAAACTTCATGTTCGAAAACTGTTTTTGTTGTATTCTTATAAACAGGCATGGCATGTTGGTTGGTACATATTTCATTTGCTGAAATTTTTTCAATTTTCAACCCATTTTGTTGTCATATGTTTTGGTAGGAACTTACAAATCTGTCAACAGCCAGGTACCGGGTTTCATATGGGCGAACATCGTGCTTCCATTTGCGTAGAATTCCAACCTGTAAGGGCCCTCCGATACCTTCAGCTTTGAGTTCTGAGATACTCGTCATCATTTGTGTGGTCTCTCTAATATAAGAAAAGATATGGAGGTCAGTAGTATATCCAGGTGAATATAAAAAAGTGAATAAACATGTAAAGAGTTTTGGAATAGCAAAGAATGTATGAAAAAAGTAAAAAGTAGTAAGGTTCATGAAAGGTAGGACATGTAGTGATACTGTAGACCTCGATTGAAGTAACTTTCTGCAGTAGATCTTTGAAGACAACATTTTTTGTTATGTTGGTTTTCATTGTGTCAGTGTTGTTTATTAGTATCTTTATGGAATCCGGTGATGTTGCTCGGGAAAGGGCAACGTAAAGTTGTCCGTGTGCGAAGACAGGTTGTGACAAATAGATACCAATTTTACGTAGTGATTGCCCTTGACTCTTGTTGATAGTCATTGCGTAACAAACTTTAACTGGAAACTGTTTTCGCGAAAAGATGAATGGCAGATCTGATGACTTATGTATGAACTTTATGCGTGGTATATATACACGTTTTCCGATGGATGTACCGGTTATGATTGTGGCTTCGATAACAGTTGGTAACAATTGTGACACAATCATACGGGTACCATTACATAAGCCTTCTTTTTTATTTATGTTTCTTAACAGCATTATCGGACAGTTGACCTTAAGTAAAAGGTCGTGTGGTGGTATTCCTGGAAAGCTTAGTTGGTTTAGGTATTCAATTGGATAGAGCCCCTCCAAATCCGATGTATGTTTTCCATTTGGCTGCATGGAGTCTGTGCTATTGTATACCTTCGCAGCTGTTGTGACCATTTCTAAAACATGAGTGTTTATCTCATCTGCTGAATCGTTTGTGGGACAAACTATTGCTCTTGCTGAAAGGTCTCCTGCAGTCGGCTGATTAAGTGTACCATCCCCATACACAAAATCTATTAAGGTTTGCAAAGAATTGGAGGAAGGTGAAATTAGAAGTGAAGGTGGAATTTGTATCCAATTTGTGTCCCGTGGGTCATCTTTTTCAGGTACACCTATAAGTCCATTACCAATAGCCAGCAGCCATGTGGCAAAATCCGATGAGGACATTGTACCGTGAGGTACTGCATCACGGAACTCTAGTCTCATGTTCGTATGTAAGAAGTGAATACTAAAGTATGTCCATAAATATGAACTTGGTAGAGTTAATGCTATGATTTCGGAACGTGTACTCTTTGGTAGAACAGGAAGAGTTTGGCGGAAATCACCACCAAGGAGTATAGATATGCCTCCGAATGGTTTTTCATCGCAATCCAGGACATCTCTAAGTGAACGGTCCAAAAATTCAAAGCACCTTCTGTCACTCATCGGTGCCTCATCCCAGATAATGAGTGTTGTATGCTGCAGAAGATCTCCAAGGAAGGTGCGTTTTTTTATATCACATGACTTTTTGTCGTTTAAATCGATAGGTATTTTGAACCTTGAGTGTGCAGTCGTGCCAGACGGTAATAAAAGCGATGCGATTCCAGAAGCAGCAACAACCAAAGCAATCTTGCCACTCGACCTCAAATGTGAAAGAATAGTTGTCCACAAAAATGTTTTACCAGTACCACCGTGTCCATAGACAAATATTAGTGTTTGTTTTTTTGTCTTGTATGGAAGTAACAACTTTGTTGTAGACTGATCGCTGGTCACCGTTTAGGTTTGGTAGGAGATCATTGTGCTGTTTCAGTAGTGCTTCCTTGTCGTAGCTCATTTCTTCCAAGAGCAGTCGATTTCATAGGACACCAATCATATCCATTGACGGAACTGGAAGGACAAAGTCTGCCATCGATTTTGATGGGACCGCCGAACGGAGTGTATCTTCTAAATCATGAAGCAGTTGTTGTTCAACTATCTCTGCAACAAAAGCAACTGTCTTATCTGGTATTTCAGTTGTGAGGCAATGTAAATAGTCGTCTTTCATCTGATCACACGCTGTATTCCACAGCGAAAGTGGATTTCTAACCTCACAGAATAACAGTAGATGACAGAAAAGCGATCGTAGTTGTGATGCAGTTGCCCAGACTGAAGCCTCTGTGAAACATGTCAACCACTCGATATCATCACCTATCAATCGAAGTGCATTCCAGGCAGCTCTGAAAGTTGGGTAAACAGTACCAGAAACGGTACGCAAGTCATCAAACGATGTACATCCTTTCTGGTGACATAATAGCATCTGTAAGTAAAATAATTCCCCACATGTCGGATGTACAAATACAAGCCGGCCTACCGCTTTTGATGATTCATAAACCCGCCGACCCCAACTCTTACTTGTTTTATCCCATTTGTAACTTTTTGGATAATCAAGATATGTCAATTCATGACCTTTAGGGTCCCTTGAGTTGCTTTCGAACCATCCAAGTAGCGTTGTTATGCTGGCAAATGGATTAGATAAAACCTCGGGTATGGAGCTGTCCCCTTTGAAGATCAATTGTTGCATGTTTTCTTCATGAACGGTTAGAATCTGAACAGGTGGATGTCGATGATGTATATTGAAGTCCAAAATCCGCCATGCTGCCTCATGTGGACATATATATCGCCCATCCAAAAAATTTTGGACTTCATTTATAGGACGACTATCTTCATTTGCAGATCTGTGAGAGCTATCAGTAGGCATTGAACTGGATGATCCATGGGAAGATTCTGCCTTTTGGATACGATATCTAACACGGTCTGGACCTTTAGAAATATACTTAAATAGGTACTTAATCATCATGCTCCAGCCACAGTACTCAACATTAGTATGTGCACGAAATCGTGAAGAAAGCCTTTTGTTGTAGGGCACAATATATCCATTGTCAACAACCTGTCCATATTGGTTAGTGTAGTGCGCAGTTGAGCTACGTTTGTACCGTACATATCCATCTGTGTCAAAAAATGTAGCAGGAAGAAATGGCTTAGGGAAGTGTTTACTGCATTTACCATCTTTCATACATGGAGCCTTTTGGTTAAGTGGTCCACATGGACCATGGATCATACAGCTTGTTATCGTCTCGTATAATTCTGCCTCATTAACTGGATCTGGCAGTTCAGCTGTGATATACCTGTCAACATCACTTCCTATTTTTATCCGATCTGACGGTGACACCCACACCAAGGTATGACAATGAGGAAGTCCTCTTTTCTGGAATTCAATAGTATAGAGATCTATGATAATGTAGAAATTAAATCAATTAACACTTGTTAATACATTTGCTATAAAAAGACGATATAGGTATAAACATATATTTTTTTGTAAAGCATGAAATATTTAGTGGTCTCTATGATGCGCTTTCAAAGGGGGATAGAGAGGCTGCTGTTGTTGGGAAACGTGTATTCTTGCCTGCATCGTTTATTGGTGGTCTCCGGTTCATGTACAGTCATTATCTAGACGCCCTTTCCATATGTAGGATTTATGGCAACCCACAGTACTTTATCACATTTACATGCAATGTGAAGTGGCCAGAGATCACCCGCTATATGGATGCACATCATCAGACCGACCCCCATAGTAGAGCTGATGTCATTGCTAGGGTCTTCAATATCAAAGTTCATGACTTTATCCGGTTTCTTAAGGCAGACAAAACGTTTGATTTAAACGGAGCTGGAAACGGAGAAGGATACGGAAGGACAACGGTGCCAGCTCTACAACAATGGGTGTACCGTGCGTGAGCAACGGTAGACACATTAACAGCCCTCTCGACATACCTGAATAATGCACCACAAAATTCACATACCCAACTGCAATCACCACAGTCGTGGTACTGGGGAAGTACAGATAGTCGATCTAGACGCCGATACTTTCGTCGACCACCAATATCAACACCACCCGACGACGACGCAGCGTCATGACGGGTCCGCTTGGCCGGAACCACCATGACATGGAAACAGGACCAGACAACGGCAACAAACGAACGAAAAATAGGAAAAAAAGTATAGAAAGGAAGAAAAACGGAGTAAATTTACCTTGATGATACGAAGAGCGAAATCCATACACTGTTGCAGATGACGAAGAGAAAAAGAAAGACATATGGAAAAGAAAGAAAGATCACGAATCCAAAAGGAAAATATCAGAAAGAAAAAACACGTGGCACTGGGGAACAAATGACACGAACATGCGAAACATTAAAATATTATTTATCCCACCTTTCTTCACCAACCATATTAATTGAGGACTCCCAATAAATGAGTTCAACAAAACGGACAACACAGACAATTTCACAAAAATATAAGGAAACAAACATGAACATAGTCCATGGGCGAAATTGACAAACAAAACCTACCTTTACTGTTCTTTTTTTTCATTTCCTTAATATATATATATTAATGTGTACAAAACTTCCAACATAATAGACATTAAATATATTATTTTAGAGATAAAACATAAAAAGCCCTTCAGCTTGATGGTAAACACCATCCCTTCCACAAGGGAGACCCAAGCTCTAACCTTCATTAGTTTCGAGACTCGGTTAGATGCATATCGGATTATAACTTTTTGTAAATCGGCAGGGATCACGTCTGTCATTTTGTCTAATTGTTTTTAGCATAATTATATTTTTAGCCGTTTATATTTAAAACTAGGTTTAATATTTTGTTGTAATAAGTTTGGTGTAATTGGTAAAAGTTATCACCTGAGTCCACATGAAACATGTTTCAAGACTTCTGAGGTTGTGATTAATCGCAAAACGTTTTAATATTTTGTGTGTTAAAGTTTGAATCATGGACTTCTTTGTGGAATTTCACACCACTGTTAGGAATATCCGTTTCTTTAACACCCCATGTTATTATTTTGTTTTGAAAAATACTATTTGCATTTTCGTTATATTTAAATGTATTTATATTTTTAAGTAATAAGTAATAACTAAACAAAATTTACCCTTTTCCATCCTACAAAATCCTAACAAATTTCCTTCTTAATATTTCATAAAAATTACGAGATCTGATAAGATAAGTTTAATAGTTCAAATCATGTATTTATAATTGACTTCATATTTTCACAAAAAAGGTACTAATCTTTATTTGTAGGATTTACTTATTGTATCATTACATAAGATGATTACTTTTGTTTAGAGATCATTTAAACTTGGCAAAACACAGTTCTAATGATAAATGAGAAGGTGCGGCCTTTGTTTGACTTTCTTTTCTTCTTGTTAGTGACTTTGAACATTATTGAGAACAAAAAAACACTCCAATGTTGACTCGCCTGAAAAAATTAAATAATACTCCCATATGGGATCCTTTTTACGTTTTGTCTTTCTTGGTTTTACTTTTCAAGTGAGTTTGAACATCGTTGGGAGTAATGTTATATCTAGCAGCATAGCAATATATTTTATATATCTTCTATAGTGACATATTTTAATTAATAATAGCAAGAGTAAATTACTGACCACCTCTGATTGAGACCCAAAAATCAAGAGCAATGAAATTAACAATAGAACAGTGAAGAATTTGAGAAGAAGAATGATGTGTTTAACCGATGAAAAACACGTAATCACAAAATTGCCAGGGAATTTCCCTCTCTCACTATCAAGCCTTGAGCCAAAACAAATGATCGTAAAATAAACAAACCTGCCAAAAGAAATCTCTCTCTCTCTCTCAATATGCAAGCACTACCCTTGGTTTACTAGCTTTGGGACCCGTAATTCAACATTTGTATCATTACTTTGTCGAGTGGCGAATCTACAATACAAAACCATATTGTTCACTATTTAAATGAAACCAACAGAAAATGAAAAAAAAATCAAAATATACTAGTTGCGGGTCTGAGTCAGGTCCTATAAGCAAAATAATAATAATAATAATAATATCTTACAATTATACATATCGAGGTCTTATATGGTGATATATTTTCACAAGTGTACCATTACTAATACTTTTCTAAACAATTTTTTCAATATATGAGAAGGAAACAACCTTAAACGATTATTTCTTTCCTTTTTTTATTTAAATTTAATTTGTATTGTACTATTTCTTATTGGATTATACCTTGAATGAATTAGTTATTTAGGCTATTAAAATATAAAATATGGGCTTTTAAAATCTTGATTTATACATATATTTTTTTGCCAAAAGATTAAGGTAGTTCGATAAAATAGTTAAGGTAGATCATAATTTTTATTTTTATATATCTATTATAAATAAAAAAATGTAGGTAAAGTGACATACCTCTGTGATATGTATACTCGCCCCTGACTTTGTCCTTTCGAAAATGTGTAACACCCAGAATCAGAAAGACCAAGAAAGGAAAGCAAATCCCTAAGTCAAAGGAGTCAACTCGTCAAGTCCAAGGAATGACTCGGCGAGTCGGAGCTGGATCCATGTGCAAGGTTAAGTGACCGACTCGACGAGTCAGCTAGTGTACTCGGCGAGTCTGGTCTGGGTTGGGAAACCCTAATTTCGGGACTTGGCACCTTATTTAAGCATCTCATTCCCATTTCTAGGGCTTCATTTACAGCCCCCACTGTCCAGAGCGAAACCCTAGTGTCCTCCATGAAAGTGTGAGCTATTATTGTGTGTTCTTGAGTGATTTGAAGTCTAGAAGAAGAAGAAGGAGTTGGAAGAGCTAAGGAGTGATTGTAGATCCAGAAGGAGTCCCTCTTCCTCATCACTTTCTGGTAATCAAGCTCTTACCTTGATCTATGGTTTCTTAGATCTCTTCATGTCCCTTTTATGAGACTTTTGGGACCATTCCCAAGGCCAACCCAAGTATTGAGCTTTTGAGGACAAATAGAGACTAGATCGGAGCATCTTTGAGCCTTAGGAGCTCTGAGGAAGAATCTTTTCTCAGCTATGGTTTCCTTTCATGGCTTAGACCTCCATTATAGCTTGGATTTGGTGTTCTAGCCTCAAAACCCCTTGCATGCACGTAAAGTCAACAACTTTACGTACAATGCTAGCATAAGGAGTCCAGATCTATGAGTTGGAAGTGTTGGAATAGACTGAAAGAGACAAGATAGAGTTGTCACAAGGAGGACTCGGCGAGTCAGCTCATGGACTCGGCGAGTCGGGTCGCAAAACCCAAACCCTTCTGTTTAGGAGTCGGATCAGTGAGTGGGGTTAGAGAAGGACTCAGCCAGTCTGTGCCCGTGATGGGCATGAAGATCATGGTACTCGACGAGTTCAAGGAGGAACTCGGCGAGTCCAAGGCAATCTCCTTAGCCGATGAAGATGGACTCGGCGAGTTGTAGAACAACTCGGCGAGTCGGTTGAAGATAGTCCCGAAGTGTTAGATGAAGGAGAACTCGTCGAGTTCTCGCTAGACTCGACGAGTGGAGTCGGGGTTGTTTAGGATTTGAGGAGCATGAACTCGGCGAGTTGGTAGAACAACTCGGCGAGTCGAGTCAACTGGAAGGTTGACTTTGACCAGGACCTTGACCAGAGTTGACTTAGTTGACCTCTGGAGGACAGTTTAGGCTAAGTTCTATTATTTGGTGTTGGTAGCTCGGTAAGCTAGGAGAGCAGCGCTTCAGAGAATAGTCGATTAGCAGCCAGAGGATTATCAGCAGAGTTCAGCAGTACATGTGAGTTTTCCTTCCAGTAGGAACGGGTCTACGGCCACAATGCCGACCCGTTTAGATAGCAGTAGTTCCGGACTCCGGTCCGATGCAGTAGTTCAGTATGCTTGATGTCTTTGTGATTCAGGCATGTTCATGTGTTAGTTAGTCCGGACTGCGGTCCGATGCAGTATGTAGTATATGTGTTTATGTTATATGCTATGTTATGCTATGTTCAGTTAGTCCGGACTTCGGTCCAATGCAGGGGGCAAGGCCCCAGTTAGTCCGGACTTCGGTCCGATGCAGGGGGCAAGGCCCCAGTTAGTCCGGATTTCGGTCCGATGCAGGGGCAAGGCCCCAGTTAGTCCGGACTTCGTTCCGATGCAGGGGGCAAGGCCCCAGTTAGTCCGGATTTCGGTCCGATGCAGGGGGCAAGGCCCCAGTTAGTCCGGACTTCGGTCCGATGCAGTGGGAAAGGCCCAATATGTGCTTTATATGTTATTGTATGGTATGTGGTAGTTTGGGGGAGCTCACTAAGCTTCGTGCTTACAGTTTTCAGTTTTGGTTTCAGGTACTCAGTTTTCAAAAGAGGAGCTCGGGAAGATTGCAGTGCACACACCATTTGTTCAGCCTGGGATGTTTATACTCTGATATACTTGACAGTTGTTATAATATTTTGGGATACATTGCTTATGATTTTTATATGAGGTTTATCGACTATGGTTTTTATTATTAAATTAAACGAAATTTTCAGACTGTGTTTTTGGGATGTTACAAAATGTCTTGTCCTCAAGACTTGCATTTGGAAATTGACTTTTGATGGTCACAACATCCTCCCAAGTAGCCTCTTTTATGGGAGTGTCCTTCCAATGAACCAACCGTTGCTCATTTTGTTCTTGATGATCCTTGACTACACAAGTTGCCAATATAGGAATGGGTTCGGACACTTCAGACTCTTGTAATTCTAGTTCTCTAGTTCTGGTGGTAAGCTTTGTTCAATATGCATAAATCTAGTTTCGCTAAGTTGTGTTCAATATGCAAGTGCACCGCCCTTTTTAATAGTGACACATGAAAAACTGGATGCACCTTGGAAGATGGAGGAAAAGCAAGCTTTTATGTTACTGGCCCTATTTTTTCTATAATTTTGAAGTAAAAATGACTCAAAAGGGTAATTAATGTAACGTCCCATTTTCAGAACCAACCTTTTTCATTTTTAATTACAGTAAAACTTCACATTTATAAATACAAGTCAAGAAAACCATTTGATTAAAATTACATTTGTTTAAAAATCAGAGTATTATAATAACGCAGAATCTCCAGTGTTGCTGACAAATGTGTACAGTCACACCTTCTCCTTCCTATGATAACCAATGATACCTGAAAAA